GTAACTAAGCAGTAGTGCCATAGTAAGGCTGGGTACTAGTTAGTTCCCTATTAGTTTGCTGGTAGTTAATCAAATTTTATCCACTTTATTGTAAAATCATACCAGAGAAAATAAAACAAACAGCTTTTTCCCTGGTTTTTTATCTCCTCCTCAGCTCTGCAGGTCATTTAGCATTAAACTGAAATCTGCTCCTGTTAAGATGTGCACTTAAAGCACAGATTATATAAATACTCATTAGCAAATCTGCATCACAGATCATCTAAAACACAATGAAATCCTTATCAGATTATGGTACTTGGTAAAATTAGATCACTGCCTTTACAGATTGAAGAGGGACACATAATCCAGTTATTATAGACTTCAGCTGTATTCAGCTGACCTAGCTTTATGTCGCACATGTCTGCATGCATTATTTAGCTCAATGATACAGGGATAACTGATGCTTTTTCCTGCCCGTTTCCAAGGTGACCAACATGTCTGAGGAGCTCACTATTCTTGAGAGCTGTCTGATCGAGGCAGAAACAGGAAATGACAACCAGGAGGATGTGTGCATGTCAGACAACGCCCAGACCAATACTGAGACGGCAATCCAGTCACTGATTGAAACACTGAGAGCCAGAGACTTCAGCTCTGCCCTGACACAGATCAAAATCTTTAGGTAAGACCAACTGGCAGAAATTAAACATTGGCTAATACCATATGTTTTGTGCTGTAACGTGATATACTACCAGTGCATGTTTTTTGTTAAATGTGGCAGCAGCGTTCCTTTGTAACCAAATCCGGCTCAATACTTTGTTAAATCACTTTTAGCTAAAATTTCTGATTAATTTCAGGTGCATCTCTACTTCCAGAAGTGTTACGTTAAAATTCTGAAATAAATTAATTTCTTCTTTTGAAATATTCTGAATTTCATTTCAGGGTACCACAGTAAAAGGGGCTCAATAAAAATTGCATACCACAGTTTCAAATTTGTATATAAACTTTGAAACATAAACTCAATATATACTCATTTTTTTATTATTTCTATTGTACAATTCTGCTGTATCTTTTATGGGTCTGGTGCACATAATCTTATAAAGTTTGTGGTTCTAACCTGGGAAAATGTGAAATGTTCCCCTGCAGACATGCAAACACCACTGTGCTTTTGGCTGTCCCTTCTAAAAGCGGTGTTTTGGTATTAAATTGGGTCCAATGTTTTGTTTCTTTTTAACCCCTTAAGCCCAGAGGTCTTTGGAGCAAATTCCGCCTGATATTAGATTTGTGAATCAAGCAAGTGCAGCTCTCAAACTATAAATTGGAAATACAATTGTTTGTATTTGTATAACAGTAAGGCATTGACGAATATTTTTCAGGGGAAACCACTATTTTAAATGTCACAATGTATGATTTATAGGTGATTAAACAAAGAAAAAATGAAAAATATTTAGCCTCGCCAATTTTTTCCCCCCAAATAACACCATTTGACTGTGTTCTGTTCATTTCTATAAATAAACATAAGCAGGTGTCAGTCTGTACCGGGCCCGCCGGTCTTAAGGGGTTAATATTTAATATAAAAATCTAATTATATTCAACTTCTTGAATCCCACAAGGATTTTCAGAAAAGCAACTAAACGGCAATTTATTTCTAGTAGAACTTTTGCTCGTCTTAAAGTCTCTGTAGAGGAGGAACTGGTCTGTTCTCTAGTTGGGCCTCATTCAACCTCTTTCTGGCTTTAGCGTTAGATTTTCCTGATGCCTTTGGTCAATTTCTGGCCTCAAAGTAAGTCCCCCCCACCTGCCCAGACTATCTGATGCTTAAAATGACTGTTTTATGTTAAGATCTTAGAAATTTTCCCTTACATGTGAAGCAGAACAAAGATTTTTGTGAAATGATTGTAATTTTAATATGAAGCTTGATTACTAATAGTTTCTTTTATTTATTATTCGGTCTTTCCTTTTTCATAGGTCTCTGTGGCCTAATGACATCTTCGGCAATGAGAAGGATAACGCAGTTCAGACCCTTCTACACATCTACTTCCGTCACCAAACACTGGGCCAGACGGGCTGCTTGGCAGTGGTGGGACCCAGCAGGGACCTGTCTCAGGCGAGCACCCGCCTCATGGAGCTCAACCTGCAGATCCGTGAGGCTCTGAGTCAGGCCCAGGCGGGCCAGCTTCACACGACCACATTCAGCACCGGACTGTAAGCCGGACCGGATGGAAATCAGCCCCCCTGTTTTACACGCCTCCTGTCCACTGTAAAGAATGGCGGGGCAGAGGACAAGAGACTCCACATACAAAGGGCTAAAGGATGCGTGGGAATAACAGACTCTTCATGCATTAATATTACCTGTATGAATGCTTCAAGCTTATAGCTTTTTCCAGACTAAGCCAACTTGCAAACTTCAGTTGCAATAAGTTATGTGGTGGTGTGTCTGAAGTTTGGAAGGACAATTTTATTTTGACCTTTTGCTTAATCTGACCAGGCCTCGGCACTGAGCGGCGGCCTCCTCAGGTTCTAATCTGGGAGTCAGTGTTGAAGCGTGTACAGTCCATGTAAGGATGCACCACCAAGACTCAAGCATCTTGTTTATAAAGAGAGTTTTCAAACGCATGCTTGGAAGAGAGAAGCACTGCAAGAATATTTTTTTGAGAAATGTATTTTTTATTAGAGCTAACATCCTAGGTTGTAAATGTTAGAATATTTAACATGTGATCCTGTGGGGGGAAAACCCCTGCCTTTCAGGGAGTGTATAAAGAGAAATGTTTGCTCAGAGATGAGTTCCCTTCAGCAGGTCTTCATGCAAAACTCACTCTTTAACCAAATAAGTAGATGCCTTTAGACTCTCGACTGTGTGGTTATATATTGGGAGATGCTCATACACAAATGCATTTAAGTGCAGACTCGCTACAGCTTATATTGAAAGCATAACTTATTGTACTATGTATACATTTTAAAAACTGTATAGTGTAAAACCAGTATTTTCCTCCCCTTGTAATTTTGTGTAATGCACTGTTCATCCAAAAATGGATGCATGTATAAAGCTAAACAAAAGCCAGGAGCAGGTTTGAGTCTCTCCAGCTGATAACAGGTTTTCCTTTGGGTTTCATTTCTGGCTGGAACCATCGAATAGCCGAGCGGCATCAATATGCATTCCTTTAGAGACTGAAGATCATGGGACCGTTTTGAATGCTTTCAGTTGAACTCATTCCTCATCTGGTACATCTGAGTTTTATTCTGTTTAAATGTAGCTTTCATTTTCCTCCACCTACCAGCCTTCTCTGGATAAAATAAAGACTCATTCCTTTAGGAGACATCCAGTCATTTAGTCAACTTCATGCTGCACATAACATGCAAACTTGATGCAAAAACACTTTAAATCCTGAATGCAAGATAGTCATTTATTATGTTGCAAGACACAATGTGCTTACAGATTCAACAAAACAGACATGGAAAAAATAAAGTTTTGAAACCTCAAATTTTGTGCTTTGCATTGGAGTGGCCCTTTGAGCAGAGGACTGACGGCAGAGCGGGTGCGTTTCGAGAATCGACTGGAGATGAGCTTCAGATGATGTATTTGAAGCTGAACGTGCTGTCACAGGAGAGCCGCTTGCCTTTGCACCTGCCGCACAAGTCCTGTCTGTGAGGTCGCTTGGGATCAACGTGGCGCTGCGTCAGGGCACAGGAGCAGCGCGCCTTTTTGCAAGTCTGGAGATCGAGAAAAGTGACTGAGTTGCAAAAAGATTAAAGTTAATAAGCAGGCTAGTAACTTACATGGCATGTGATGTCCTCCACACGGTATGGGTTGAAGGCCTTCTGGCATTTTCTACAGAACTGTTTGAAGTAAACCTAGAAAACAGTAGGGGTCAACAATCCTGATTGAATTGCATCCACACTATAGATAAATCCTCCATTTACAGATCAGTTTGATTTCCATCCATGCTCATGGGAATTTACTCACCTTGTTGGTGCCTTGAACGCACCACACATAGGCGCTCTCCCATCGCAGATTGCATTCTCTGCAGTGATAATATCCGTACTTCTGTTCCAGGAACTAATAGGACATAAAGTCACTTAAATGAAAGCAACTGCTGCAACTTTTCTATTTTACGCATTTATTTTTTTAACACCAAATACGTTTAGTCCCTCTAGCCAATCTTTGCCAATGATGTGGCTTTAAATTAAGAGGGTTTCCATTTTCGGTAACTTTTTATCTTACTTTAAAGAGTTGAAAAAGATTAATGCTTGGTTGTTTAATTCATCCTTATGACTTGGTTTAAGGTTTAATATAATTTGCTCTTCAAAAAACTTTGCGCGCGCCTAGACTCACCTGGAAGCGCACGCGGGCTTTGTTGCCCTTTGATTCGTCCGCCGCCGGCGGCGCGAGCTCACTCTTCACCTTCAGCTTCTCCTCCGGAGGCCTCGCAGCCTTCCCTTCCTCTCCATCCTTCCCTTCCTCTCCATCCTTCCTCTCCTCCGGGTCTCCGTGGGGCTCCCCGGGCGGCGCCTCCTCAGAGGAAACCTCTTTGTTGTTATTCTCGTCCACGAGGAATGACGTGACGCTCCTGTAGGCTATGGGGGAGTAGACCCCCAGGGTCCGTGGGTAACGCACTCCACCCGCGGCTATCGGGCTGCTGGGCTCCTGCCGCCTCCTGCGTTGGAAGTCCCGCTTCATGGCCTGCAGGGTCCGCGGGCCGATGGCGCATTGGACCGAGGCGTCCTTCTTCGGGTTGACCTGCACCGCCACATCCTTGGTGTTGGCCTTCCGGAGCCTCGGGGTGAGTTTAGGGTTGATTTGGGACAAGATGGACTTGAGCTGGGCGCGCTGGTGGTTGTTGAAGGCGTCATCTCCACAGTGGGGAAAATAACCTTTATATTTCCACCCGGAGTCTCTGGGCCGGCTGTACCTGCTCATGTAAGGGTTGTAAGAGGAGTAGAAGTATCTGTCGACTGATTCTTCACCATATGTTGCCATTTTTTCTTTGCTCAAACAGGCCTTCCTTCCTGCTTGAACAATTTAAATAGATTGGAGAGCAGGGAGACTCCATCACTCTGATTGGCTTCAGGTGTTTGCAGTGGCGGTTCTAGAACTAATGTTCCCGTGCCGGGGTCCCAGCCTGTTTTCATGGGGGCACAGAAAAGCATGAAGCAAAAAAAAAAAACAAAAAAAAAAGGCAAGGGATTTAAATACATTAAGAGAGCTGCATGAAGTGAAATTTCCATTCAATTAGGTTTAATTAAAATTATATCTCTCCAACTGAAAATATTTATTTTTGGCTTGAAAATGTTCATTTGGATTATCGTTAAAATCAAAATAAAAATCCCTTGGCACATAAATATCTAAAAGGTCAAATAAAGCTATTATTTGGAATATTAGGTTCATAATTTAGGAATTTTACATATTTCTAAATTAAAGTTAAATCCGGATTAGAACTCAAGAAAAGCTGATAAATTCAGCTGTAAAAATTAGTGTTTTTTTATTTAGCAGATGAAAACTGGGATCCTATCTCAATATCACTAAAGCTATCACCTTATTACTTTTAAATAATTAATAAAACAGAATTTTTTTTAAGAAAAAATATTGAAATAGATCCAAAGGACCTATCAGTAACCATGTCTGTTCCAGTGAATATCATCATTAGAATTTTTTTTAGTATTATGTCTTCGGTACAGGGGCCATAACAGGTGGGCTACAGGGGCACTGGCCCCTGTTGGCCCCTGTCTAGAACCGCCCATGGGTGTTTGGGTTCAACCCAGCAGGAAACCAGAGAAACAGGTGACTGAAGGTAAAATACATCAGGACTTTAATTGTTCCATTCAATCATTTACAGATACAGTTTGATCGGTTTGGCACATGGATAATCTTGATATGTTTGTTTTCTAAATAATATTTCAGCCCCTTTTTCCAAATAAAAAAAACAAAAAAAAACATGCACATGATGATAAATCTTTAAGGCTTTTTTTTTCTTTTCCTTTTAAAATACATCAGTGATTAATTTGAATGAAGTAAGCTTAGGCTAAACATTAATCTGGATCATTATCTCCTCTTTTTTTTCTTAAATGGGTGACAGCAATGGCAACTTTTATTTATTTATTTCTCATAGCAGCAGCAAATAAATGTTTTTTTTTCCCCCTGAATGATTAAACAGGAGTGGGATCAGGAGGACAGGGCTCTAACATGATGGTGTTTGTGTCACTCACTGTAACAGCACCATAAGACGGCTCAAAGTCCTCATCGTGGAACCTCTGGTAGGATATGTCTGTTTCATCACCGTCCATCAAAGGATCTGGTTTATGCAGAACTTCCTTCCTGTACAGCCTGTAAGCCAGGATGAATATGCCGGCCTCGGCCGCCTGGAAGAGGGCATACAGCAGAGGGAACATGTACATCCCACCCATCAGCTGAGGAGGGAAGGCCAGCTTCAAGATGGCCGTGCACAGCTGCACGTTCTGGCAGCCTGTCTCCAGGGATACAGCTCTGCGACTGTTGGGGGGCAGGTCGAAGAGCACGGCCAGGCCGTAACCAGCGGCGTACCCGCACAGAGGCATCAGGATGGCCACCACGTAGACAGAGGGAGGGATGGTGGAGAGCAGCTCTGGGCCCAGCATCACTCCTGTCAGGATGAACAGCATCACCAGGGTGACCAGCAGGGACCAAAGGGAGGCCTGTGGGTGCAGGATCATTCAATCAGATCGACAGACCAACTCAAACTTCTGGTTATATTTTGTTTGCAAAAGCGTTCAATAAGAAACATTTTTCTACATGAAATCAAAAACCTCAGGGGATGTAATTGGGATTTTATGTGATAGACCAACACTAGGTGGTGCATAACTGGAACGTAGAAGGAAAATCATAGATATTTAGGTGTTTTTACAAATAATCTGAAATATTTGTCCATTTTATTCTCAATCAAGAGCCCTTTTATGCTAAAATAAAGCAAAATTCAGTTTGTTCCTACCTTTGCACATGTAAAGGAGGACATTTTCTCCCAGTTTTTATTTTGCTACATTAGTTACCCTCCAGGTTAGATTAGATATGTTTTCCTCTGTTTCCTGAAATGATTGAGGTCATTCATAAACATGTTTTGATCCAGTCTGGCTCAGGCTAAAAGTTTGAACTTCTTCCCTGGCCTTAAATATTTTCTGCAGGTTTTCTTCTGTGTTTAACTCCTTCCATTTTCACCAGCTCTGACCAGTTTCCCACCATCCTGTTGATAAAACTTGTCTGTTCACTCTAACATAGATCCAAGATCCTGACAGAGAGAGTTTAGTAAAATAAAAATAAAAAACATAGCTTCTCTGCAGTCTTTTCCTAGGTCCCTCTATGGCTCTGACTGCTTTCCACAGCTATTATAGCCCAAAGATCCCCAATAATACTCTTACAGAATATTCACTTTTAAATTCTGTTTCTTCAGGACACCAGCTACATAAAGAGGTATGATTTCTATCATTAAACATCTCATAGACACCGCTTTGTTTATCATATTATTTAAATTTGTCAATCTGCCAATGTTAATAAAATAAAAGAAAAAATACATTCTGACTGTTCATCATTCATTCTAGTTAATGTTTTAGATGATAAATAAAAATGACAACGTGCAAAGATGCGATAAATGCCCACTCCCATGACATACATGTGGATAAATAATTTGGTGATTATTAAATGCATTCCATTGGACAGCACAACAAACCTTTATGATTTAAATTTCAAGTAAATACTGAAAACTATGTTGTTTTTCATCCACTTCACAGTTATGAATTAATTTATGCTAGTCTGTTGCAAAATACCTAATAATTGCACTAATTAGGGGGAGGAATATGTTTTTGCCATTTGGTGAGGATCTCTGGTCAGAGTTTTGGTTTTATCCTCCATTGAAACTCCAGCATGGCTGCATCTCTCCTTCCCCTTTTGGCTAAATTCCCATTGATGCTGTATGTGAGACCTTTTCTCAGAAAGCACAGGGAGGAGCTTTCCCTGACTAAGTGTCTCTGATGTCACTGTCTCCTCACTCCTCCCCATCCTAAACTTCTAATGACAAGCGCTGGAGAATTTACGCAGTGCGTCTTTGCGCAAAGTTGGTCTCTTATAAACCCAAAGCAAAATGACAAAGTGACATATGATTGGAGCTGAGATAACTCGGCCATAATACCTTTAAAACAACATCAGCCACACGCGTGTGGCGGTATCTGAGCATAACACCCAGACCTATTGGGATGAGAGTGCTGCACAGGGTGAGGATGATGGCCCCGAAGGGCAGCAGGTTGACCACAGGCGTGTTGATCCAGGCCCGGCTGTAGATCCAGAGGCAGAGGGGCATCAGGACCAGCGCCAGCAGGGTGGAGGAAATGGTCATGATGATGCTGGGGAGAGCAGAGGACAGAAGCGCGGTTATAGGAGGATTATTGCTTCACCTTAGATGTAAAAACTTTAGGTAAACGCAGAGATATTTGGATATCTGTGCGTAAATGAGAAGATCTACCTGAGGTTCATCTCTCCGTGCACCAGCAGAGACATGATATTTGATAAGTTCCCTCCAGGACAGCAGCCACAGAGGAGCACAGCCATCGCTGCCACATCATCCAGAGAAAATGCTAAAGCCAGAAGGAAAGCCACCAGAGGCATGATGACAAACTGACACACCAGAGCGAGCAGCACCCCGATGGGTCTGCGGATGTGTTCCCCGAGCTGGTTGACCTCCACGGTGCAGCCCAGGCCCAGCATGGTGAAACACAGGACCAGTCCGACGAACACATTGATGCCATGGCTGAGCGGGGAGTCCCAGAAGGCAGGCACCAGGTGAGGAGCTTCTGTTTGGGGAGCGCTCATTAATCCCAGTCCAGCATCAGTCCTGAGTGCGCTGCTTTCCAGGATCATGGCCCCACCGGGCACCGAGAAGCCCTCCATCACGCTCCGTTTCCGCGGATCCACAGGTTGCTTCAAAGTGTAGGAGATAAAGTCCAGGATGGCAGCTGTCTGTGCGCTGGAGTTCTCCATGGCGCAACAGGAGGATCGGTTATCTCCACGGCCGCGCTGCGCGCCTGCTGGTGCCCGTGCGTAAAATGGTCCTCTGAGCTGTGCGCGCTCCCTGATTAAACGATCCGGAGGGATGTGAGGCTATGAATGGTTAAAGATGCTCGGAGTCAGCCTTCTGCCTCTGCTGGATCCTTCTAAACGAACCCAGAGAGAAAGAAAAAAAGGTTCATTTGTCCCTCAGTTTGTTCTCTCCTTGTCATCCGGCTGTTTTATTTCTCCTAACGAATGACGCACGACCCTCATAAAGTTTATGAAGCCTGTAACGCGCATGCTCCGATGGTTGATTGATGTCTGTGTGATTAAAGCTGCTCTTTACAAACTTTTCTACCAAATCAAATAAATCAAATTTACAAAACAATCAGTCCTTCTCTTTATTCATCAAATCAAATTTAACAATCAGTCCTTCTCTTTATTTTGCTATTTTCTTTCCACAGCTTATTTAATTCCATATAAAATCTCTCAGTTGTGCCTTTATAATGTTCTCCTATCTTTATATGGTCACCATCTATAGTGTTAATTTTTGTTTTATACAAACGCAGCAAGAGTCGCATGTAAGGACAACGAAGGGATTGGATGATGATGATGATGCCACCTGGAAGTGTCTGAAGGGAAGCGGAGCAGATTTCAACATTAAACCGAGTTAATTTTTTTTCAGAAAGCTGCTCACAGATGTTTAACAATGCAAGCTGAAGTAGTTGCCATTAATTTATACATACAGAACTGTGCTTATTTATTTTTTTGTTCCTGCTTTTTTTGAAAACTGAAGTTCTGCCTCATTGGCCGGTTGTGTTTTCACTGCTGTATGTATTTCCTAGAAGCAGGGGCGGAGCTAGATGGGGGGCCAGAGGTGTCCATGGCCACCTTTAACCAATCATAGGCCACCCCTTCCATTTTTCTCGCCCTCTAATACAGACGGCCGCAGCAGTAATACTATAAAGAGAAATGTTTAAACTTATTAAACATAAAATTTTTAATATATTAAAAGTTACTTGAAAACTAAAACGCTGTGGTTAATTATGCACATCAAAGTAACAACATTAAAGTTGATATATAGAGAATTCATGCTCTTTTAAGATCCTCATTTTGTGTTATATGGGGTAAAGAGTAAATTATGTGTCTCTGCAAGTCATCAAGGAGTTTTAAGTGAAATCATAGATAAATAACGACTTTAATAATAACTTAAAATCTATTTAATGTAGATATTAGTGCATCTACAGTAATATTGTTATGCAAAAACATTTTTGATAAAAGTAAGTAAGTATTGAAAATGGAAAAGATGTTTTTCCCAGACATTTTGTCCACTATACCTTTTATTTAGACAACATGGATGTTTAAATATATGCTTCTATTTGTAATCAAAAGGCTGTAGGAAAGTATAGTTTGTCTTTGTTTAGAAAATATGGATGTTGTCCTCGTTCCTGTTGGAACAGCGTAGATGGACCCTGAGGTTCTGGCACCTATCCGCTTTCGGCCATCGCTCAGTTTACATTGGTTTTTGACTGGCCACCCCTATTAACATTTTTTTAGCTACGCCTCTGCCTAGAAGGACAAACGCAAACAGCTGGTGTGTTCAAGTTTGACCTCTGACCCTCTTTAACAAATTAGGGATGATTGAAAACGGTTAAAAGATCATAAAAGATTCATAAAAGGGTGTTTTCTTTTTGTATGTTATGTTATTTTACTAGAATAATAAGTCACAGTGAAACACACACACACACACACACACATATATATAGAGAGAGAGAGAGATACAAAAGTTTGTTCTAAGTTCTCTCTGACATTCTAAGGAATATTAATGGATTATGATTCTATCCTGCAAGGTCAAACATAAGCCATTGCTGAGTTCAGTTTAACCTTTGACCTTCTTTAACAAATGAGGGGTTATGGACAAAGTTGAAATGATCTCAGATACCTGATGAATCAAAAACTGCCGTTTAGCTAAACAGTTTTCCCTCACTCTGCTGTATTTACTCATTTAATCATCTATCTAAAAGAGCAGTTTTATATAAAGTGTTTTCCTATGTAAAAAAAAAAACACAAGAAAATGTATAATGTATATATACTGGTTGAACTGTAAAGTGCCTTGAGATGACATGTGTTGTGAATTTGGCGCTATATAAATAAACTGAATTGAAATTGAATTATATATACAAAACACGGCTGCTTTTTATTTTCTTTACAATTTTTACCCACCTTCTGTTTTATTTACTAATTTTATCATCTATCCTGAAGGATTTGGATCTTTGAAAAGGGGCAGTTTAATATAAATCATAAGTTTTTCCCTATTGCATGGTATTTACTTCATTAAAAATATTTTAAAAAATCTATTTATACAAAAGTCCACCGCAGTTTTTTTTTTTTTTTTTTTTACAATTTTTACCCACCTTCTACTTTATTTACTCATTTAATCATCTATCTTGAAGGATTTGATTCTTTGAAAGAGCAGTTTTATATAAATCATAAAAAAAAAAGTTATTTACTGTAATAAAATACAAAAAAGATGCAATATATAAAGAAAAATAAAAGAGCCCATTAGTTTGTTGTAACAGCCTTCCAGTCTGACATCCTGAGGAATATTAATGAATCATGATCTTATCCAGCAGCAGTTCTCTCCACATTCAGCTGCATCCAGCTTTGAATTGCTTGGTTTGTGTCCGCCGCCCTTAGAAGCATCACGGTATCGCTCTTCAAGAGGATATGAGTGCAGGCGTCGTGTCTTTGAGTCCACTGTGGGAAGGAAAAGATTGCACACCTCTGTGATTCAATCTCCTCTCGCTGCAGAAACAAGCAGGCTGGTTCTGGTAAACAGGAAGTGACTCCAGGCGCGGTAGAGCTGCTCGTGTGTCGAATACATGCTTTCCTACTAAAGAGCTAACAAGGCTCAATAAGACAGTCTGAAATCAACATGATAAAAATAAAAGTTATTTAAATAATTCATTTGATTTATTTTGCTTTTATTTTTACTCCTATAAAGAAAAAACTCAAACAAAGAAGAAAGGAGAAACCGTTCAATTTTTATTTGAAATGTGACTTTACAGTGAAATCAAATGTCATGTCTGTGGCTATAAAAAAAGTTCATTAACAAAAGAAGTTGCACACCAGGTGTGTATGTTTTTTGCGTCATTCACCCTTGCTTCCCACCCAATCCGAGCTTTGACAGAGGCACCCATCTCTTTAATAAATAGTTTCATTTACAGAACCTCTATTGTTTTTGATATAAATACAAAAAAGGCATGAGGAACATTTTAAAGCAATACGTGTGTCGATTCTGTAACAAAACCAAACAGGCAAGCGATTCAATCAGGCATAGATGCAAAGCTGAAAACAACATTGGCAAAGAAAGAAGTTGGCACAGACGATGAAAACACAAAGAAAATCTGAAGCTCAAACTCAGTGAAATTATAAATAGGCACTAATGGAAGCCACCCACCACAGCAGTGACCAAACGCCATTCCTAACACTGGCATGCCTTTTTAGATTCATGTAGCACATTGGGTCAAAACTTTTACACCCCATTAGGTTATTCAAACATTAAATTATTTTTTTTAATAGTTTTTTTCTTTCATCTTGCATGACACAGATCGCTGGGAAACACTGAAGTTGCCTTGATTGCATTCTCTGATGAGGACAGTGATGGCTCCCCACATTAAAAAATAGCTTCTGAAAGCAAATATAGCTTCAGTTAAATGATAACCTATCTTTTAATGGAGCACTCTGAGAAATGTCGTCTAGGTAAACTGTTTGGGGTAGTTAGAACTAAGGCTTTAGTAGAGGTGTCCCTCATTCTCTGCTTTTCTACCAGTACTGATCTAAAACTTCCAACTAAACAAGGCTTTGGAGAGTTAGCTTACAGCTAAAGTTCAAAATCAACTATTTCAAACAGAAAAACCTGAATCAGAATACTGATATGGATGTTTGGACATATGCTTTTTAAATAATTTGAATAAATAATTTTTAAAAAGAAACTTGTGCATACATTCTGGATGATTTTCTTTCTTTTTTTCTTCTTCTTCTTTTTAAGAGGAACGATTAAAGATTTGTACCCACACAAGAGGTGCTTTCACTGTTAAAAGACATCAAACAATTGTCTCAACATCACGGGACAGTTCACCTGCACGGCATCATCATCATAGAGATCACTCACCGACATCTGCTGAACACAGAGCATAATAACAGAAATGTGTGGAAACATTTCGACCTGAGGGAGGCGACAGGAGAACAGAGGAGGGAGGGAGGGAGGCTGGCCATGCAGACGTGACTGCAGGCGTTGCGTCGCCTGAAGGCGGCCCGCTTTTCTTTGGCATTTTCTCTGTGGCGTGCACTACATGCCCGACCCCCTCCCCACAGAGCCAGCCCCCCCAGAGAACAATAATGGGATGTTCTTTCTCACACGCTGTGGAGTCTCTCCTCTTCTTTTTAAAAAAAAACAAACTCTGATTTATACATGCTTGTCTGTCTCTGAGGAAATTTTTTTCTAGGTACATAAAGTGCCATGTTTACTGCCTCCTTCCTTCTGTGGATAGTGTGACTAGAGCGCCCCCTGCTGGCTCCACTCAGTAACAACCTTCTCTCCAGTTGTCACCTGTGCCGCCGTAAGTTCTTGGAGCAGGGAGAGATCTAAACAAGGACAACCAAAAGAATTACATTTAGATAAACCTACATTATTGCATTTATAAATATATTTACCATATTTTCACGACTATAAGGCGCATATAAACGTCTTTTTTTCCCCTCAAAATGTGCGGTGCGCCCTTTGGTGCAGTGCGCCCTATGTGTGTTGTTACTGCAGACTTTTGAGACCACCATGCACCATGCAGAACTCCTCATCTCCTCATTGAAGAGATGATGAAAGAGTGGCTGAGGGAGGTGTATGTAAGGAGACCAGGTGGTTTTTTTCCACTCATCACCATCGCTGTTAATCTGTGACTCCATGCGTGCCCATCTCACAGCTGATGTGAAAAACATGGTGAAACAAATGAACGCTGTGCTCGCTATTATTTAACCGCTCGACATCGGTGTGAACCGGACGCAGCAGGCGCAGCAGAAGCAGCGAGTTTACATGCAAAGTCAATGGTTGACGCGCGTATAGACGCAGCAAAAGGTCCCGCAGCACGTTTTGAGCAGCAGGCGCAGCGTTTAAGCATCTGACGCGCCGCCAAGGTGCTGCTGCAGCTCGAGATGGAAAAATTGAAGTTTTGCTGCTGGACAGCAAATATAGCTGCAAGGCAAAGAAAGGATAGAGTAGCTCCGCCCAACGCGTGTCAGACACACTTTAGCACCGCGCAGGCAGAGCAGCAAAGCTGCTTCAGCCGCGCGTCAGAACTAACTGGTACAATTTAAACTGCAGGCAGCAGGATAATAAAAGCGAACATATTCTGCCGGCAGAATAATTCCACGAAAAGTGGAAGGCAGCGCCGGGCAAGTTACGCCACCGTTTGCGGATGGATTGTAGATGCTTGGACTAACGTGTCTGCTGGCTCTGTTGAGGAGCCGCACGGCACGGAAAGTGACTCTGACAGCGAAGAAGGGGAAATTGGCATGTCTGATTTAGCGCAGCTGTTTAATTCAGAAACAGAGGATGATGACTTTGATGGGTTTGATTAATACTTTGTAATAAATACATGAATAAAGCACAATCATACTCAATTTTGCTCCCGCTCTATTTTTAAATATGCAGTAGAGGTATTTAAACGTAGTAGAGGACATGTACCGGTATATAAAAAACGCGCCCTATAGTCCGGTGCGCCTTATGTGTGTGTTAAATACAGAAATGGGACACATAACTGAGAGTGCGCCTTTTAGTACGGTGCACCTTATGGTCGTGAAAATACGGTAAGAAATCTGAAAGGCAAAGCATTTAAAAAAATTTAAAAAGAAGTATGTTCAGTAATTGAATGTTTTGGATGTTAAGAGAAGTAAAACAAGTAAATATCCAATGCAATCAAAACAGAGACTTACTCTTGACTTAAATATATATTATCAAATTTAAGCTAATTAACTGGAATTAACTTTTGTGGATAATCTAGTTAATAGAGATGCACGTGTGTAGAAAATAGTCGTGTAGATGTGCATACCTGCGCACTGGTTGAGCCAGCTTGCTTCGAGGCAAAGGGATGCCTCCTCCTGCAGAAGCACTCGGTCGGGGAAGGCCGCTGCGGGGGGGAGCCAGTGAGCGGGTGGGGGTGGAGGTGGCAGAGTTAGGGGTGGAGGTGGCCTTGACAGGCTGTCTCAAAGCCAGCGGGGATGGCGTGGCTGGAGTTCGGAGTTTACTGGGAGAGGGGACTGTAGAGGAAGAGAGTCAGGTGTAAGTGAGTTATATTTAACATTTAGACCATATTCTACCATTCTGCTTTAGCAACGACTTCATGATCACCAGTGCAATGGTGTGAGGCTGCCATAGATAGAATGTCAGTACTACAGGATGAAAGAGTAAACATCCCACTAGCACAAATGAAGCTTTACTGGTTGAGCAGTTCAAAATGAGCAGTCAAGCATGAATAAATGAAACTAATCTTTTCAGACAAAGCTGCTAACTATGATTCCTTATGTGTTGACAGAATGAGGCGTTTCACAAACAGAGCAAAGACAGAGACGGTCCAAAAAAAACACAACATCAATACAACCAGGGAGAGAAAACACAGCCACAGGTTATCTAAGGATGAGAGCCGCCAGTGAATACTCACTGAAATCACCTTCTTCTCCAAAGCAACAGGAGAGTGGGACTGGACAGAGACAACAGAGACAGGCTTTAATTTATGCCAGGGACGGGGGGGATCTGTTGTTAATGAAATTTTGGGTTATATTTAAACACAGTCTGGTTATTTGATTAGAAAGAGGAATACGCATATAGAATAAAAATAGTTTAATTTAGCCTCTGCTGTCCTAATGCAAAATTAAAGAGTATTTTCAGTTCTGGTTCAAGTCCCTATCCACTCACGGTCATCAAACGGGACGTTTATGAACGGTTCCGTGTTTAGATAGTACGATCATAAAATGATTTCAATGTTTTCTGCTCTGTCTGTGTGAATCAGCCAAAACAACTAAAACTAAACAAAAAAATACTTATACTACTATATAGTCAAGATAAAGTTTGATCTGCTTGGAAATGATACAATGAACATCACTGTACTGCAAAAGCACGGAGGTGGCTGCTTCATGCTGAGGGTTTTTTCCCATCTGCTGTTAGAGATGCTAATACAGTGAACAGAATAATGAAGCAGGAGGACCAATTCCAAGTTCTTTTATGAATAAAGCAGCTTAACATCAACTGCTGGAATGATGTTGACCTCAAACCTGTAAAAATTGTTACGATCTATTGTTAAAAAGAAGCTCCATATGTCCGGAAACTAAAATTTATCAAAGTGAATATATATGTGAAATTCTAAGGACGTCCCCCCTGCATGTTTTAGATGCATCTCTACTCAAATAGAGCTCCGTTTTCTTTAGGCACAATCGGTACATCTTAAAATACAGTTTGACTAGACAAAACCACATTTTTACTATCCAGAATGGTAATTTAAGATATCTGTATTTACATTCTGATTAGGAAGAATAATAATTCAAGATATCTTAAATTACAACACCGGATTTGTCATTTAAAGTGTCACACACTGATTTAACTTTTCCTCCTTTGGATTAAACTGGCAGTAAGGAATTTTTTTAGGAATGATCCTTCTGGAAGCCCATTAAAAAGATCATTACACATTTTGAATAGTCAGAATGTCAATTTAAGATATCTTTAATGGAAAAACTGAATAATTCAAGATATCTTTAATTCATTTAGAGATATCTTAAAAGGAATTTCGAATAGTCGAACTTACAATTCAAGATATCTTTAATTTTGTTTTGTCTAGTCATTATTTGCTTTTAAGATATCTATAATTGAGTTTTCACTTGTCAAACCTGCATATCTCCTATCCTAAAATACATTTAAGATATCATGAATTATGGTGGCATTTGAGATATCTTTAATTAGAATTATGACGAGTCCAAACTAAAATCGAGATATCGTGAAATCACTTTATGTCTAGTCTTAATTTAATCGTAGATATCTGAAATATGTCAGTAATTCATTCTAGATATCTAAAATGGACGTCTCCATGCAAGTTAATGGTAAATCTGACGTCATTTCGACTAGTCAGAATGTAATTAGAGATATCTCGAATAGGTATTTTGACTAGTCAAAATATAATCAGAGATATCTTAAATCGCTAAAACGTCTAGTCATAAAACAATTTGAGATATCTTGAACGTAAAGGCCTTACAACCGAATTTATGTTAAAACGGCTTGCCATGCTTAACTCTTCAAAGTTCAGCTGGGCTGCCAATTAGAAGATATGCATCTGTCATTCTGCTTAATATTAGAATAGCTGTTAAACAATATTTCACATTATCTTTTAGAATCTTTTGCATTGCAGCTAAAAATTACATTCAGAGAGTATCTAGGGAAGTATAATATCTGATCATAATGCAGTATTTGAATGCAAACCATTTGTGATATTGTACATATTGACCGGGTCATTATTAAAGCACAGAGCAGGAAGATGCTCATACTCTCTAAATGTCTGCGGTTATTTCTGGCTCCAGGAGAGAGCAAAATGATAAAGATAAAGGTCTGATATCAGGGTTCACTGATCCTGGAGGTCTGAGGTCCTGAACCTTTCAAATGAGTCTCTGCTTCTACAACTGAATCAAACAGCAAAGTTACGTCCTCAGCATCCTGTCACAGCCCAGCGAACGACCCGATTATTTAACTAAGGCGTGTTGAAGCAGAGACGCACCTAAAAGCCTTTCAGAGTCAATTACAACCTTCTAAATGATGAAATGCTGCCTCTGGGACCACAGTTTCCAGTTGTGATGAAATACTGTCAGTTTTCAGAAACAAAACTCCTCACTAACTAAACGGCACCTTTAAGACTTCCCGCCCGTTTCATGATGCAGCCCTACAGCTGCTGCAGATTGGTTCACGCCACTTTTGATTAGTGCCATCTTTAGGTTAGAGAAGGTCCAGGACCTCTCACAACTGAAAAACACATTTAGAGGACTTAAAGGAAGAGCGTGTAATAATTACAGGGATTTACTGGCACAAATGGTATATATAATCTATATGTCTATTATTTATTATCAGCTATGAACTGAAAGTCTCAATCTTTATGTTTGCCTTACCTTAGAAATTGCCATTTATAATTACATAGGAGTAGATTTTTAATTGTGGAGGCAGACATCTACGCTATGGCAGCACAGAGCTGACAAACTAGTGACTGGAGAGATCGCCATTACAACGCGACAGCAGGAAGAGATAAGCCAGATACAAAATAGTGATAAATAGAATAATAAAATACTATTTATAAAATGATCCATGTAAACTAGACTTACACTGGCCAATGTCAGGTTATTATGAAGACAGGTGATTATTTCAATCACCAGTTGTTGCATTTTTATTTTGTTTTTTTCCAGAGCTGACTTGCATCTTTCTCCTGCCCACGGTCCATGTTTGCTTTGATCAGTGCCTGAAACGGGGATGAATAACATGGCCAGCAATGTCGCCCTCTGTAGGTAAGGAACCACAGCGGTAGAGGCTACAGTTGGACCGGGCTAGCTATTGAGGCTAACTATGGAGGATCGAGGCAGAAAGCAGGAAGACAAGATTAGTCTGCCGGGTGGATAGAGGTCCAAAGGTGGGGTAGAACGGCTGTGGAATACTCTGAGGAGGACGGCGCGACATCAAAGGAGGCAACAGAGCAGGAAAAGACGAAGGGAGGCCAAGGCTAGTCTCTAGACGCTAACTGCTGGAGGTAAAAGGAGGACCGCTGAGGACCAGAGGGGCCTGTGGGTGGACTGAACGGCGGAGCAAGATGAGAGAAGGATCAGCTGGTCAGTGCCGGAGGTAGGACCACAAGACAGTCCTTCTAGGGCTATATGTTCATAAAAGCTGCTCACAAACCTCTCAAGAGCAATACCCACTGTATTATTTTCCCCTGATTCCATTTTGAATTCAAAAAGGTCGTTTCTGCGGCCCCCTTTAATAAAAGTGTGGTCAGTTCATCATACTTTCTCATTCAATTTTTATACTTGTCAATGTACTTGAGACGAGGGTGTTGAAGAATTAATGGATTTGAGGCGTGGAACTAATGTAAACAAATCTCTGGATCAATTAAGATAGGTCATGCGGACGTTGCGGAAACCATTTTTAGCCACTCAGTTTTGTAGAAATGATCGCGCTCTGCCTCGCATCACTGCTCAGAGAAGGTGGGAGTTTGGTTTACTGGGCAGGGAGGTGGTGCTTAGTGGAGGGAGCAGTTAAACACTGATCTATGTTAATTTCAGGAGGAGGAGTTGGACAGGAAGGAATCAGGATTTTGATGAAGTGATAGCAATATAGTAAAACATAGTTACAAAAGTTGATTTTACATGGCAGAGACCCTTTGAGCAGAGAACAAGCCAAAGTGCTGTTCAATCCAGAGCCTTCAACTTTGGACCGCTAAAGAACAAAGCTGCACTCAGCTAATATCACTGGCTGCTTTTATCTATACGTACACACTTAGAGAGTGTTTACCAATGCTAACTGTGCCGATTACTCGTATAAGATCCTGTCGACAGTCTAAAACATCCCCTCTGTTCCAATAAAACCATTAGTTGAACGTTGAACCAAATCAGCGCTGTCCTCAGATTGTAAGCCTGTGTATAATAATGCTAAAGACCGAGTCATTTCCATCATCTTCCCAAAGCGAACAAACAGCATCGAAAATGCATTACCTTCCATCCTCAGACAAACATTAATGCACTTTATCTCTCTTTCCTTTTAGTCCCACAAATAGAGCAGCTCATCATTTACACTCATCCATAGTCTTTGGGTGTGTCATAAACTGTGGGTATGTTTGTGTAGAAGATCAATGGCACAGCCTCCAGCTGGATTAGGGAGCAGGCTGTTACCTCGCAGGGCAGTTGGCTTTTGGAGGAGCTGTTTGGGTTTCGGGGATGAGCGAGAAGAAGCGGAGTATCTCGGGAGCTGAGCAGCAGCTGGAAAACACGGACAAGTCATCAACTGGCTTCTGGGTGAGAATCACTGCTTCACTGGAGAATAAACAAGTCCACTTTGGAACCACCAGGGGGCTCCACAAACAATCGCTTTAAGGTTGTTCCTTGGAGGAGGTGGAGCAGGATACCGGCAAAGAAAAGCTGAAGTGCCACAGTTGGGTTCTACGAGTCCAGACAGATGAAAAGAGGGTTTGGGTTACCCATGCAGGAAAGAGAAGAGGCAGGCAGATGTTAGGTCGGCCCACATGCCTGGTGCAACCAGAGCTCAAGGAGAAAAGAGATATGACCGACATTTTCCACTGGTAAATGTGCAATGAAGATCTTCTGCAGCCCAGGAGAAAAGAGAATCGGCTTTAATGTATGAAGACCAGCGTTTCCTGCTCTTCCTTTCTGCCCTATCCACCTCTGGAAGCAGAGCTGGATTACTAATCCTGAATTAAGGGAACACTGTTACCTTTTCCTAACCTGATAGAGCAAAGCTAACATTCCGAAATCTGCGAGAAAAAGTTAGTGTTAAAGGGCCTCTCAGTAGCTGCTGCTGTCATGCATTCCATTGATGTTAGAGTTAGAAGAGACGGAAAAATGAATAAGAGATTTTACAGCCCAGACTGATCAAACAGGATCCCCAAACAAAGAAGCCATGTCACTACAAAGCAGCAGAGCCCACTCACACGATGCCTGACAGCAGGTTATAAAGCCTGTCGTGTAACTGAGCAGGAGAACATAGAAATACTACAAAGATGTCAGCAGAGTGGTTAGAAAATGTACAGCAGAAGCAGCAACCCCAGTCACTGCAGGGAGGACACTCACTCGCTGACTGGCTCTGGTGTCGAGGAGAGCCGCCGTTTGGCACTTGGAGGTTGGACTCACAGCTGCGACTGTTCTTGACGGGTTCTGGCGACTGAGCCGTCACCGCGGCCGAGCGTGTGAGGTTGGGAAGACTTCTGCGGAGCTTTTCTGCAAACGGCAGACACATTTTTTTAGAGTGAATATTCTGATGAAGCTGTGGACACAGATAAGAATGAGCCAATCAATCAATACAAACCAGTGCTTATAAACTGAAACTGTATCAAACTGTTAAAAAGCCATCCAACAGCTGACCACTAAAGCACGGCAATATTTATAAAACACGTCCTGATACTGCAATGGGAATATTTTGATGCCTATTTTAGTTATTCTGAGAAATTTTCTGTTGGATTAATGTCAGTCGGTTGCATTTTCTGCAGCTCTACACCATGATGCTCTCGCCTCTGAACTTCAATGTCTGAATGGGGCTTTTTTTTTAGGGTGATGCATGATGTCATCTGTCTCTAACCACAGTAGAACCTGCAAATCTCTTAGTCGCTGTCAAAATGTTTTACAGCAAACTTTACAATAATCGGTTTTCTTTCTGAAAACGAACAAGTTTCACCATCATGTCTTTTTATACCTTTTGTTTAATAATATTTCCTGTTTCTTGAGGTGCTGCTATGGCGTGGAGGTCGAGTGCATGACATAGAAATTAACAAAAATAAAGGACACTAGAGCATATCTCAAAAATATACGTATATATATATATATATATATATATACTTCCTTTTTCTTTACAAACTGAACATAATGTAAGGAAAAATCTTTTATGACTTTTTTCTCAAAATGTCGTCAGGTCCTTAATATTCCTCCCGTCCTCCTTCTCTTTACCTTCATTCTTAACCACGTTGGTCTGCAGGTCGTGGCCGTGGCCCTGCAGCGAGTGACGGGGCTGCTGCAGGCGGCTGATGATGGGCTGCGGCGAGCCCCGGCTGTAGTCCATGGACCGGGCAGGGGAGCGCGAGCGGGGAGAGTTCCTGGGGGAGACGCGAGGAGAGTGGCGAGGGGAGGGGCTGAAACGGTTGGAGGGCAGGGCGAAAGACATGTGTACCGGCTCTTCCTCGTCCTCCAGACTGTGCGCATCTAACTCCTGGTCGCTGAAGGTGCTGCGCCGCAGAGAGTGGCAGGATGACCCTGAGCTGCGTCTGGACGCCGTGGCGGCGTACTCCTGCCGTAAACCTGTCAACAGACGACAGAAAAACTGTAAGAAAAAGAGAGTGGGGGCGAAGGAGCAGGAGTTGAAACGGATTTGGGCACATACTCTCTTCCTGCATGCGTGCCAGGATCTGGACGTCTGTGACGTCATTAAGCTTGTAGGTAGACGAGGAACCGACAGAGTCCTCATCCATCTCTGATGTGCTCAGTTCACTGTCCACTGATGACTGCGGACTAATCGCTGGAGGATTCCTCTCTGCAGCGGCATTTCTCTGGTGTACTGGACAGGAAATCACTCGTCAACATCTCAGTCGCTTACTGAAGAAATGCTGCATAACAGCGAGCTAAGGAGAGCTCCATACCAGAGTTACCGGGCATCAGCTGCTGTCGGACGATGGGCACTCTGCAGGGCGTGGAGGAGGGGGAGTTGAAGCCACTGCTGTAGGGGCTGTTGGCTGCATTTGTGCTGTAAGGGCTTCCATAACTCTGCTGCAGATACGGGCTTCCATACAGGCTCCTGCGCTTGTTGGCTACAAAACGGGACGACAGAAACAAACCATGACTCAACAAAAAAAGGAAGAAAAAGCTCCACACTTTTTCTGCCTTATCATTCTAGTTTATCATCCCACAAATAAATGAAATTACAGGGTTATTTTTAAAAACAATTAATGTGAAATGAACATAAATGGCAGCATTTTAAGGCTTTACACATCTCTCCTCTCACCAAGGTTTGCCAACACACTGCTGTACACCCATTTCCTCTGACAATGTTTTATCTTTATTTTATAAAGCCTAAAATCTAATAATGTCTTTAAATGAAAGCTGTTAAAGGTTCTATCTAAATGAGCAGAATAAACCCTTTAAAGTTTCTCTAATCTATATTTAGATGATCTGGCCTCTATATTACAGCTAGCAGAGATGGGTCAGGTCATCCAGGACTATCTGCTAAAACCGAGCGTTTCCCTGAGGCGTCAGTTTCATGTTATAACATACAGCATTTCCTTGACTAATAGTCTTTTACTTGTTATAAATAATGTATCCATCTGAACTAAAACAGGCAAAGCTAAAGCCAAAAAGTGAAATGGTTTAAATGTTGTCTTTTACAGCGTTTCGCCTTCAGCCCGATGCTGTGAGTTTGTCAGCGATCAGCTGAAAGTGGCAGCAATCAGTGAATCGCATCAGAGCCAGAATCTCAATCAAAGCTCTGCACTGTGCTGCTACTCTGGCTGAGTGTCCGGCTCCATATGCTGAGCGTGGGCCTAATAGAGTTCCTGAGATAAAACAATGCATCTCATTCTGTCCATATGGACCCAGAACAATGCAATTCCCTGTGAAAGCCTCCAAACCAGCAGTCAGAGGTTTCCAGTTCAGAGCCCAATGATCTCAGTCTGAATTTGGCAGCTGGTTACTGATGGTTACTCTGCTGGTTTGGATGGCTGCCGTCTCTTATTTTCCGATCCCTGTGTTTCTCTCTCTCTCTTAGAGACTGGGTGTGTTTACTGTGCTCTGTGGTGACGGGAAGGCAGCCTTTTAAAACAGACTTCCTTCTCGAGTCTCTTTCACTTTCCCTCCTTCTCCACCTCATGCTCTGCACTCTGTCCTCCTGTATTATTCAGGAAATACCAGCATGTTCAGCCTGCTAACATCTGCACAGATCAGCTGCTGAGGATTGTCAACAACACAACGTGGGAAAATTGACTAAAAAAATGCTTCCTTTTTCCCAGCAGAAAATTCTACTTCAGATGGTGTGGATTTATTCTACACATATGAGAGGAGAAGATATGCTCCATTGTGTAATGATATGAATGTTCCCAACATAAAGTGATGCTTCTGTGAGTGTCGGCTTCATCTGTACACCTGGTTTGGATTCAGGTAGGGGCTGTTATATAAAAGCCAATCACAGTAGCACAGCATCACTCCACTAAGACAGACCAATGAAAGGCCGCTGGAGCTCAGAGACCGACAAAAATAGTTTGCCCTGAAACTCTCATGTCCTGAAAGAATAACAGGGAAGTTCTGATCCCATCCAGCATGATAGCAATTTTAAAGAACCAGAAAGGCTTTGCAACAAACCAATGATGGAAAATCCTCAATAACAGCTTAAAACAAACCAGGATTAATGTGTAAGAAAACAAGAACAAAAAGCTGTATGCCTAAATCCAGTCAATATAAAGAAGGAGTAAAAACAGCTGCAGGGAGCTGTGGGCTGCTGCAGGCGGGCCCATGCTCCCATGTTTTTTACCCACACCCCTGGAGCAGCCAACCCACCAGCTGCAGGGAGCTGTGGGCAAAATCACGAGAAGAACAAACAGAGAAGCTTGTGTCAACAAGGAGATAAAGACCAGGCAGGAGGAGAGGGATCAAACTGGAGTGTGAGGCGGACAATACATGAACAGAGAAGAAGGTCAGAGTTTCTGTTCAGAAAACAGCACCGGTCAGGTTTGCGTCTAACAGCTGACCTCTCTGCTGCAGGGCACAGCTGTCAAAGCAGGAAAGCAAGACATTCAACTGCTCCAGTGTGCATGGAAAAAAAAAAAAACCCGGCTCCAATGATTATCAGGGTTGTCCGACATGAAAGAAGTCGCGCTGCCAGCTAAGGGAGCTATCTCCAAGGCGTTTCCTCCCAGTTAGTTATGTAATTGCTACGTCATCTGAGGCCCTGATTTTAGCCGGGTGTGCGCATAAAAAAGGCACGGTGACTTAAACCAGACAATAAAAACCTTCACACCTAAAATATCTCACTGCTCTGTGAGGTAGTGTGAACAGAATGTCATTCATTCAGGTCTGTGAGGACAACCCAAACAGGATTTTTTTTATGCTTTTGCAAAATACTCAGCAATGGAAAGTTCTCTGGAGTCACATGGGTGTGTCCTCTGATTCGGATTCAAGTATTCAAAGAATTTACTAAGGATTACCTCAAGAGAGATGTAAATAAAACAAAGATATTTACTTTAATATTCCAAGCAGGGATCTGTCTTACATTTCAGGTCAATATAAGATGACATTTCCCTCCCTCTAACCCTGCAAAACTCTGATCCCTAATGATCAGGGAGCACATGGTCCGGCCCTTTCACCAAATCAGGACACAGACATCTTAAGCACACTACACTCAATCATCTGTGTCATAAGTGGAAAATGATCCACATGAATCTTGAGTGCATCAAGAAGTTCTCTCATATTCCAACTCAACAAAGCAGAGGATCCCATCTAAACTAGTAAACAACCTTCAGCCAAATATCACCCAACATGATCTAATGGTCACATGAACATACCTCTGTCAAAATGGAAGTGACCCCTCTCTTAGTTTAGCAGCGAGGATTTGAAGCCTGTCCTCCTCCCAACAGAACAACTATAATTAGTGGGAGTCCAAAAGTCAACCGCAGATATAACACCGGCATAAAGCAGCAAAGGTGGGTCTGAATCCAGCTGGAGGAATGGTGGATTTTGTGCTCTCCATACGGTGGCCCCGAAGTGCAAACTGCAACTACAAATCTAAAAGCGCAACTACATTAAGGAAATCGCAACTACATAAAACAAAGCGCAACTACATTAAGCAAAACAAAACTACATAAAACAAAGCGCAACTACATTAAGCAAAACAAAACTACATAAAACAAAGTGCAACTACATTAAGGAAAACACAATAACATTAACCTACCGGAAAAGGTAGGTACCAGTGGGAAACATGAGACATCGCTGATTGGACGACGGCGCCGTTTGACCCTTGAACCGGAAGTCATTCTGCCTGCTGCGGCTTTTGAAAACATGGATATTGTCGGCGCCCCAAACATAGCTGCCGTTATCCAGGAATATTTTGAATCAGGACATACGTACGAGGTGATACTGGATATGCTCAAGACTAATCACGAAATTTCAGTTAGTTTGCGTACACTGAAGACACACTTTAAAGAAGCTGGACTGTTCAGACGACGCAACTTCCGGTTTAAGGGTCAAACGGCGCCGTTGTCCAATCAGCGATGTCTCATGTTTCCCACTGGTACCTACCTTTTCCGGTAGGTTAATGTAATTGTGTTTTTCTTAATGTAGTTGCGCTTTGCTTTATGTAGTTTTGTTTTGCTTAATGTAGTTGCGGTTTGCTTTATGTAGTTTTGTTTTTCTTATTGTAGTTGCGCTTTTAGATTTGTAGTTGCAGTTTGCACTTCAGGGCCACCGTATCTCCAGTAGGGGTGTGGGAAAAAATGTATTTGGCGATATATAATGATTTATGGCTGCGTGATATAATATCGATCTAATTTTTTTATATCGCTTTTAAAAAAAGCAAAACATTTTTACCCCAAAAAAAGGAAAATGGGCTACCTCTGCACTGCCACTCTGGCAGATAGAGCTGTGGTGCCTTTCTGCTGTACGGCATATCTGTAGTTCAGGCAGTCACAATAGAAGAACAGCACGTCCTTTTTTATCCATGCATTTAATTTTGATAGCTGGGAAAAATCTCTCATAATGTATTGATATTGCAATATAGTGATAATATCACAACACCCATGCCAATGTTCACTCCTACTCTCCAGTGAGAATGGCCCACTAACAGAAATAGATTCACAGTAAATAAATGATTTGAAAACTTCTACCGGTTTAAACAAAAGTAAAGTTTCAGTACCTGACAGTGTGAGGTCCAGCCTGTGGATGAGCGAACGCTTGGCCGATTCCATCTCAGGGCTGGGGTTGTCTAAAGTCTGGCGGCACCACACTATGGGGCTCAAGGTTTTGTGCAGCGGGCTGTTCAGTTTGGATTCGTATAACCTGAGATTAGAAAAATACAGACGGATGAACATATGAGGGCTGCCGTTCCAGCCAGCACAGTTAGTGAATAACCATTAATGACAGTAAGCAAGTTCAGTCAAAGCCTACGGTAATTAAAAAAACATTCCAATGCAAGTCTCTTCAGCCTTCCTCCTCATAATGAGACCCAGCTATGATGGCTCATGTCTGCACCCCTCATGCATAACTCAACATAAACACCTGGTACTGGTTTTTATTAAACAACACTGGAGCAAATCAGATTAACAGCAGTTTGCTTTTGTTGAATTTATTGAAAAATAAACACCCAGCATCTTGAGGTACTTTACTTTTTTCCAGTATATTGAATGAAAAAATAACTGATGAGATTTTAATTGGTTTAAAAATCAGTGTGCACATAACCCCAGAATGGTTAGATTACCACAGATTACATGAGGTTAAACTTTTTCAGGACGGTCCACTGCTACAGTATGTAGATCTATTCTATGTGTTTATGGTTGAGATAAGAGAAGAGATCTGAGTCAGCAGCTGTCAGCGCTGTAGCTGCCAGAGAGGAAGCCTTTCATGATGAAAGCCAAGACACTGCAGGGAAAGTGAAGCTAACGTTGGGACACACCGGCCTGGAAATCTCACTGCATACTCACATTGTTTGTAAACATAATGGAGGTCATCCAAGTACTGTATGGTGCGACTCCCAGCTCTAAATTTGTTTTTACGTGTCATGTGGGAGATAAAACGAATGAAGCAAACAGTCATTGATAGGTTAAGCACAGCAGCAGCAGCAGGGAGCGTTTTAAATCCACTCCGACGCCAATTTATGGGATTACGAGGAGTCTGTGACAGGAGCTGGCTAGATCTAGGCACTACGTGGTAATCCTGGATATGGAGCTGATGAAAAAGGCAGACTAAACAGGCTACGCTAAACGAGATTGGCTCTGCTGAGCGTGAGAGGCCAAAGTTAGAGAAGTAGCCTGACATAAGGCGCACTGCTGCAAACAACACACAAATGACAAGCCTGTCCTTTTAAACTGGACATAAGGGAGCTTGAATAATCAGGCTGAAAATGGACCGCTCTGTGTATTTACAACGTTAACTCTGATTATATCCATCACTGAGTGGAGGACATACGTCGTACAGAGAGCTGGCCACTTATTTAGGTCCGCTGGAGATCTTTAAAACAGCAGATTTCACATAAATGAACACAAACTTTCATCTTTCAAGGAAAGCTCATCATTTTTAATACAGTCTAATAGTTTATTAGCTTTATTCCAAGGTGTCAAAAAGTGAACAGTTCTTTAAATCTCCATCATATCTCTGCAGTTGACAATGGTCCCAATAGGTTGCCAGTTTCCACAGGCTATGTGGAGAATAAAGCCATGTGCGTCTCTTTATCCCAACTGTTGCTGCACACTGCCACTCAGTTTGCTGAAAGGAGCCTCTCACACTTACATGTCCTTTGCAGGAAAGATGTTTGGTTGTTAGGAAATATTCCCAGTTGGAGAAAGAAACCATAATGTGGAAACTAGAATAGTAACACAAATGATTCTGATGAACTGAACACTGTGGTAAAAATGTCGTAGACAGTCCCAGATTTCATCCCTGATTACAAATCATCTACCTCAGTAGATAGTCTAACTAGTTAGCAGCTAATGTCGGCTCTTTATAACTGTGTTATTCAATAAAGAGCAAAACGACCCAAAAGGTAGGCTATCAACGCTGCTAGTTTAAAAAAAATACTAAAACGTTTTAAAAAGGTTTTCATTTTGAACTGTTTATGCCTATGAATCAAAATCATGTCTAAATACGAATAAGATATCAAAACTATACTTAGCTAATGACTATACAAGCCGAAAAAAGAATGTTTAGTAGGGTAGCCCAGATTTATCATCCCGCCGATCAATCAGCCTCGATTTTCTAAGTTTTGGGAGTTCTGTGATTGGCCGATACTTAGAACCGATCTTTTCCACCTGATCTGATCTACCTGTGGAAACCACAGACTGTAAATGCCTCAAGCTTTAATTTATATTTGAGAGCAATTATTTCATAACTTTTTATTATTTCAAGACCAATGCTAAGTTGTATTTTGTTTTACTAAGATAAGATAGAAATATCCTATGATCTTAAAACAGCTGGCAGTCCCAGTTATAAAAATCTATTGGTAAAATCAGCATTTCAGGATTTTTAAAGCAAACCGATGATCAGTCAGAAACCTAAATTCGGAGCACCCCTAATATTTACTGATTGTTTAACCAATACTTTTAGCTTTTGTGTAATAAAAAAGTCCTAAAACAGTTGAAATAAGTTAGTATAACGTATTTATAAAAAGCTTAGACAGAATAAGAACACCTTTATATGGTAAAATAAACACTGGTTGTATTAAGCAGTGGTTTTAAAAAGCTTATTGTGCAGCATATGACATGCTCTTTTACACAATAATTTCTTTTAACTAGTTGGTCCTTTACCCATAATCCTAACAGTGCAGCAGCTCTGTTTCAGCTGTTTGGTTTGAAAGCTTGGTTTGTACCTTGGTAAAGCTGAGCAGCCCATGTCCTCATCTTTATAAACATTATGTAGAGGTTAGGTAGACATGAGGGCTGTTGGATTAACTCTAACAAAGCGTGCTGCCTAATCCTTGTCTGTAAGACCCCTAAATATGACCGGCTTAAATTCTAATGTAGTCCCTGCAAATACAGAGCTATGATTAATTTTAAGGCATTTTGGCATTCAGCCCTACAAGATGAGATAATTTGCCAGTCATGTCTCAGTTGGTGCTGCAGAGCACTTGTAGCTCTGAGGAGGAGGACTATAACCATGACTACATCTCCCACATGATTGCTAGGCAGGAAAACAAGTCTGATTTTCACTGTACACCCTGAGCCCCTTCCAACAAGCTAAACAATCTGTCACTTTAAAAGGATAACCTCTGCAGTCCAAACTAGTGGAGAGTGTGAGCTTTTAAGGTCAACTCCTATGTTTCTAAAACAAAACTCCATGTTCAAATGGCTGAAGACAAACTACTGTAAAGGTGATAGGGGTGGCATGGCATCAGCCATACAATGCAGCTCCTTCAGAGTGGATGACTTCATTATTTTAGGCATTTTCCTGGGCTGATTGTCTGAGTAGAAGCTAATGTGAAGAGCAGCTGGGTTCAAGCTGTCAGCCAGCCCTGAAGACACAAACACGGCTGCAAAGGCAAGTTTCCTCCCAACACAGGCCCATCACTCACCAGCTGTCCTCGTCTTCATTTAGACAGTCCATGTCTTCAAGATCTAAGATGTCCACTTCATCTAGAATTGAGGTTTCCCCGTCAGCAGTAAACCCGCCGGCGTTGTCTGGGTAAAAGGAGTTCATAGCAGACATGGAGGAGGCAGCAGAAGCCCCCTCACACTCATACGCCCTCTTTAAGCTGATACCGTCGAGAGACAGTCTGGGTCTGGAGCAGAGGTTGTTCTCCAGCGGCCCACCGTAGCTGCCCGAACCGCCGAACCCCACCCCAGGGAAGCCGGCCAGCCCGGTCCCCGCTGACAGGGAGGACGGGTCGTAGCCGGCGCTCAGGGGTCTGTGGTGGGCTGACATGGCTCCGGAGGAGGAGAACATCGTGGACCTGCTCCGGAGCTGCTCGTTCTGCTGCTCCAGTTTCTTCACCAAGTCCTGGAGTTTCCGCACCTCCAAGTCTGCGTTGATGTTAGAGTTGATGTCCTCCATGGTGATTCCTCAGCCCGAACGGAAAATACGCTGCGGTCCGGAGCGGTTCCTCCGCGGTTCCTCTGCTTTCTGTCGGTTTTCTGAACTAATATCTACGTGTTGAAACCAAACACACCGGAGTTTAGCTGACTTTGTGAGCTCAGCGTCGTCATCTTCTCTGGATATTCGCCACTACGGGCAGGGTCGAGGCCATTTTCATAATACTCGTCACCAACTGTGAAAGACCAACAGGCGGCGGATAACATACGTCACCGCGCACGATACCGAGAGCGAGCACGTAACCAACACCTTTTTGCTCGCGCACGCATAAACACGTCGTTAGGGAGGGGCTCAAAGTATGTGCGATAAACCGGTGTTATGCCCAAAAGTGCATGCCTGCCGAAATATGCATCCCCAGTCGCGGGAGCGCGCCTCGCTCTGTTGAACTGCATATCGACGAGGAAAACGGATTAAAATATGTTCAATGGAGCTTAGGTTCTTATATTAATGATATAAAAACGTTTAAAAATACCTCTCGTGGGAAAAAAATTGTGGTTATTTGGCAGATTAATTCATAAAATTNTATAGTCTGTAGCTATGTAAAGCACTCAGCTTTTTTTTAAGCACTTTGTAAATAAAGCGGAATGGTATAATATGATAAAATATGGTATGGTTTTACTTTATACTGAATTTACAATGGAATTTGCTAAACTTTTCTCCTTTTTCTCTGATATTTTCCTAGTTCTCTGGCCTGCCTTAACATTTATTCATCCATCTTTTAAACTTGATGTAGCGTCTCTGTATTACGATGGATTATTAGGGCCGATATATTAATATATTTTTAATTATGAAAATAAAGTAATAATGTTAGGACTATTAACATCCTCATATTACAAAAATAAGGTCATAATATTACGTCTGCAAGAATAAAGTAATAACACTATGAAATTAAAGTTGTAATATAAGACAATAAATCTGTAAGGTTATGACTTCATTCTGGTTCCATAATAAAGTTATAACCTTATGACCGCAGTCTTAAAATTATGAGATTAAAGTTGTAATATTACCGAGATAATCTTGGGCTGAGTTTAGGTAAGAAACATTACTATAATAATATAACTGTAATATGATAAGAATGATGTCATTCCAAAAAAATATGAAGCAGTCTACTCTGATATAAACTCATTACAATATAGAGCCGTCTTCCCAGTTTTGGCGGCAGTTTGGTTGATAATATGGAAATTTTTGTTTAAAATATTTTTCTCAAAATATTAAAACTTTGCTTTAATATTATTTTTATTATACTTGATTTTCATTACTTTATGACTTTATTCTTGATATGAAATAAAAGATGGCCCTAAAACTCATATTATACATCATACATCATATTTTTTTAAATACTCAAACAGATTCACCTCATAAGCATATATAACACATATATTGCATATTGTTGATGTTGTACATTATCATGTCTAAAATCTGCAGCTATCTATATTTTTCTCTTTTTTTTCCGCTTTTCTCAAATCATTAAGTTAAAAATAAACTAAATTTCTTTAAATAAAATCTAGATTTTTTTTTACTGTATAATTTTAAAAACTTTCCACTTCCTTTAATGCCAAATTAAAAATTTGCCTTCCATTTATTTGTCCTCCATTGTGTTCCAAACCTTTATCCTGTTTAGCTGCTGAATCTGTATTATCAGTTTTACTGGAGAAGAGGAAGTCGATCTTTTTCCATATTAGTTTTTGGATGATAAGTAAAGATATTTATGAGCTCATTTCCTCCCTCCATTTTTCAGTGTTGGATCAGCCAATCAGCTCTCGCTGTTTCCTCCATCCTCTCTCCTTCAGACCTTCTTATAGTCTCACTTAAAGTCTGTTTCATTACCTCTAACTTTTAACAGGTTCAGTCCCTGTGAACATAGACTTCTCTAAAGGTTTATGCCATAAGAATCTTTACATCCATGATGACTCTGATGTTTTTAACACTACTTTCATTTTTTTCTTGTTCTGTTCTCTTTGAGCTGGGTGAGAGGAAACTGTTGTCCTTTAAAACCCAGCAGGACTTTATTTGAGGATTTTCCATTACAGCAGAGATGTTATAGAAGCTGCTGCAGTCAAACCTCATCTGCGGCCTGAACAACCACACACAGCCGGCGCTGGCTGTGATTGGCTGACTGCAATCAGACCAGGGCTCACCGTGCAACAGGATCTAATTGGGGTTACAGCTGAGGGACGACCTCCAGCAGAAAGAACCTGCAGAAACATCTGATGACATCTCCCTCACACTGCTCTATTAAAGCTTCCAATAAGCTGAGCCCAATCATCCTGGCTCTCTCTAACCCTCCTGCACCGCTGTACCCTGCATGAGTGGCCGAATCCCATCAGGAGCTCATCTCAGGTAACAATATGTGAGGATTGTTTAAAGAGGTGGAAGGTCACCTCTCCATCCGCCTCGGAGCCGCAGCTCGTCCCCGACGGCTTAATTCACATCGAACACCGAACTGGAGAGGAGCTGGAGCAGAGAGTGCTTCAGCCTCCAGAGCTGCATCCAGAGCGGCCCGTGGAGCTGCTCCTAATGGGGCCCGAGCAGCTGAGCTCTCAGTCACTGCTTCATTTTCCTCTGCAGATGAAAACCCAGAATGAACCCCCATCATCTCCTCCTCTTCCTCTCCGTTAGACCTCATCCTGCTTCCCTCATGTTCTCTGCAGCAGGAGGACGAACCAGAGCAGCTAAGATTGATTTCTGTGAGGAAACTGAAGATCGTTACACTCATTAAAACACCTTTTCATTGGAATTTACTGACAGCTAATCTCTTGAGTTTTATTTCAACCAAAAAAAACTCAGCTATCTTAAATCAGGTCTATTTAAGTTGTGAGCTGCAGGCCGGTTGTTTCTGTGAACCTGTCTGCATCTAAGGCCGGTAAAGAGATTTTCACTGGTATCTTTTTACAAAGAATTATACGTCTTTATCGACTTAATCTTTGGTTTTAAAGTGGACCTCATAGCAAACAGAACAGGAAGCATCTAGTGAGGCTAAAAGCAGCCTGAAGTCCAACTGTGTCGCCTAATTCAGCATGTTTTAACATACTGACATAATTTAAACTGAAAAAAAATCTCAACATTTTGATTTCTTTCTAAAAAAAGACAAACATTGAAAGTCTTGTCATGGTTTACTGATCCCTGTCCTCCATAAAACTAGTTATTATTTCCACTTCATCATTAGTTTATTAATGAACGGTAGCTTTTCTTTTTAGCTTCTCTTTTTATTTTTCATGCATCCTTAAAGGAACTACCTGCAGACCATGCCTCCAACGGCAAAACAAACAACAAAAAAAGACCCAACAAAAACATGGATCTAAAAATTGACTGTTATAAAGAACCAGTCCATTAAAAATCCATCCACATCCAGGTTCTAAGTTTTATTCTGTTTATTTTTATATCTCAAATAGTTTGAAGAGAGGAAATTGTTCAGTTTAAATTCACATTTGATCAAAGATCATAAGATTTAAAGCATTTTATACCACAGACAACAACCATCAAGATACGACAGATGAAGAGGAGAGGAGACACAAAGAGGACAACAGAAAGGCCACTTCCAGCACAACTGAAGCAAATGTTAACGGGTGTAAAATCCTGAAGCATTTTGACCTCTATAAACAGACTTGTATGTTCTCTGCTCACCATGATGATCTAAAAATCAGAGAACTGGGGTGCGGACCTGCAGAGAGGCTGTAAATCAGGTCACCAATGTGTGAGTTCATTTAAAGCTGTAGTAGAGCTCAGATTTCCCTCCAGGCTCCGCTCTGCACACCTCTCTTTATTGTTCTGTCCCAATAACCTGGATGATGGAGCTGCAGAGCAGAAGGTGACATCTGTTTCCTGCCCAGTAACACTCAGCCTGCGTGTCCCAGGTGCATCATAGGGCCGAGTTAACCAAGGAGGCAGAGAGAGGTCAGAGGCTTTCAAAAAGGCGTTTCATGGTTTGCTGTGAGGGCGGCTGGATGCTGCTTTTATCTGCTGCGGGGTCAGAGGAAACAAAGTGGAGGAGAAGCTTGTTAACGGACAGATCATCAGTTCTACCAAGGACAAAAGAAATGAAAACCATCAGTTGGAATTTTATTCCTAAACTCAAGATTGATTGTCCAGCTTTAAAAGAGACCTGGAGATGCGCCCAACCAGAACCCTACCAAAGGATTTAAAAGCTGTGTCACATCATGTTTGCTGGTGATGATCAGGCTATTAAAGTGCTGAAATGATCTGTGCTTAAGATCTGCTCACCAGCTGTTCTGTGCTGTGTGTGAACGCATCAGATCCTGGTTCACAGAAAACCTATGGTACTGAGTTACAGAATTCAGAAATGTTTGTGAATAAATCCTTTATAAACAACACTAGTTTCTGCCATTTATCCTCCACACTGATGAGCAACAAAAGCTGTGAGTGAAAAACGCTGCAAGTCTGTCACCTTTCATGCAGATGAAGGTTCTGCCCCTGTTATGGTTTGCAGGTTTCCATCATCCCTGGTTGTAGGAGTCTTTGTTATCCTTTTAATTCCATGTTTCACAGCACTGCACTAATATAAGTGTCAAACTGTTAGAGGACGCCATCTGCTACGCTCCTGAAAGCTACGTATACGCTGCTTTAAAAAGGGACTTCAAATATTCTGACAGCTGCTGCAGTCAAATGTTCTCTCCTTCCTTTATCTGATGCACAGTAAATGCTTTTAATGCTAATTAATAAACAAAAAAGCATTTCATTACCTGATAAACCTTATGCCTCTGAACAATTTTGACATTGAAAATGTTCTTCCTCTCCCTCCTTTGATGACCATTTACATTGTTCTGCGATGTCGTCATTTACATTTTTAGCCTGTTTAGCATCATCTCCCAGCCGTGCTAACGTCCTTCAACTGTGACTGGAGCTGAAATAACCAGACAAAAAAGGCAGTTTCTGCAACCTGCTAATGGTTACCAGTAAATTTTTTTAGGAAAACTCTGAGAAAAAAAAAAAAAAAAAAAGGAGAGTTTAAGATATTACGCTTCTTTTTTTCCAAATTGAGATAAGACAAATAATCTGGGATCCTCTTAAGGAAAGCAGAGCACATTGTGGGACAACAAAAGCCTCCTCATGATCTATTATTCTTCAAAAAAGAAGCATCATAGGATGTAAATGTGACCCTGTAGAACTCATATCTAAACTTTATAAACCAGAAATAATTAAGTTTGGTTTTTGACGACAGAACTCATTTTTGTTGGAATGCA